TTAACCTGCTTTAATCTTGGAATTTCTATAACAAATAGTTGTCATGTAATTACCGTGAATTTGCCCCGCGAACTTACTTCCGCGTTCGGAAGTAAGCTCTTCCCCTTATGATGACGCTCTATTCAATTGCCTTATAGGCAAGCCGCGCATTACTTTAATTGCTGAGTTATTTTGAACCTACCTCTGTCTCCACGCTGAGTCTTTCTGTATCGCTGCTGCAACCACGAACTTTCGTTCTTCATTGTTGCTGTAATCTACAAGGATTCCTGTAGCTACTTACAAACCAAACAACCAATTGTAGATCTTTACCATCCTTGCTACACATACAGGACTCTCTGGAGAAACCATCTACTTACTACTTACTACAAACTGCAATTAAGGATATTTCACTTATCAAGTATAACTATTACTTCAACCTGCAATTAAGGATGTTTCACTAATCAAGTATAAGGATTACTTTAACCTGCAATTAAGGAAGTTTTACTAAACAATGATATACATATTGTTAACCAGCATATAAATGTAACCACTACGTCTATTTACTAGTCAAGTATATACATTGCTACAAACATCGTGTAAGGAAAATCAATTCCAACTGCCGTTCATTTTTCTCTGAAGATTAATTGACACTAGAAACCGATTAATATATAAGAGGAGTTTATTATTGAAAAAACTTTTTTCATGCAAACAAGTTATTTGGATTCAGCTTTCTTTTTTCCTGAAAGGATCACTATAGGGTCAGGAACACAAACATGTATTCCTGACCCTATAGTGTTAACACCACCATCTAGCCCCCCTGGGCCCCTCAGGCCTCCATAAAGATAGCAAAAATCCTACTGTATTTAAACCTGAAGCTGTAACTCTGCATGCTGTTAGACTCAGAAAAAGAGACAGTCTGCTGACATCATCAGAAGTGGTAGGCTGATCCAATCACAATGCTTCCCCATAGAATTGGCTGAGACTGACAAGGAAGCAGATCAGGGGCAGAGCGAGCATGATTCAAACACAGCCCTGGCCAATCAGCATCTCCTCACAGAGATGAATTGAATCAATGAATCTCTATGAGGAAAGTTCAGTGTCTGCATGCAGAGGGAGGAGACACAGAATGTTTAGATGCATTTTAGGCAGCCGTGACCCAGGAAAGATCTCTAACAGCTATCTGAGGAGTGGCCAGTGAAGTTATCACTAGGCTGTAATGTAAACACTGCATTTTTTCTGAAAAGACAGTGTTTACAGCAAAATGCCTGAAGGTAAGGATTCTACTCACCAGATCAAATTCAATAAGCTGTAGTTGTTCTGGTGACTATAGTGTCCCTTTAATGCAATTCTGGAAGAAAGATACTATTTGTTTTCAACTGATTCTATAAGAGATAATAAAACCTCTTTCAAATTTATATTGGAAGTACTCCTTGTTTTTATTAAAGGTATAGCTCCAACATTTAATTCTGCAGTTGTGTTCCACAATTCTCTGTATAAAGATAATTGATTCATAGCAATAGTTTACAAAATAAATGTATATATTCTATTTACTAATCATGAAAAATGTAGGTTTTTTTTTTTTTTATTACTCATAAGTGTTAGCGTTACAATAGTTAAAATGTTGCTGATGTTGTGTTGGCTAGCCACTGGGCTATTTAACCCCTTTGAAAGAGGGTCATCTGAACAATCAGTAAAAGGTCTACAGTCCTGTGAATCTGAATTTTTTTACCGGAGGACTTGTTTCCAATCACCCTCAAACAGAGGTTTTGAAAGGTGGTAACCTAGAAGTATCTGGCTTCATTATGCAGTTTCCCTCACTCTCACATCTTTGGGTTTGTGTTAATTTATGCTCCCCAAAGTACCCATGAGCTAATTGGTAGCCCATGCACAACTGCCCCATTTTTATTCTTCTTTAAACACATTTTCCCCTCCCTCCCTTTCTCGCATGGCAAGTTCCCACAGAGCAATCTTTAAGTGGGATTCTAAAGGACTTTAACACACCCGTCACAGAACTCTACTTGTTTTAATTGGAAAACCATTCTAGTGTTTGCTTATTTCTCTGAACAAGGCAGACTTAACAATTTGTCAGGAAGCTCCTGATAAGATGACATGATCCCTTCACCTAATGTGTTGTGCTAGATCTAGACCCATGCCTCTCATTCTCGGATAATTAGACAAAGATAAAATGTTTCATAGGGTTGACTAGATCAGCTTTTGAGAACCCTCTAGTAGGCAAGTGTCAGGCATACCTTTAAAAAAATTTTTTAATGGGTGTTCAAGCACACTCCAATGCTTGACCTTCACTTCTTCCCAATGGGGGCTGTGGGAAACCTTTTAAATTTTGCATTGTGGTATTCAGCCCTACTACATGTTGAATTCTCCAACTACAGATGTTGTTTTATCAAATTCTGTACATAATTTAAAACAAACACTGTGTGCTTTTTGGCAAAAGCAAAATATTCAAGGATGTAATAGTTTGTACATGAGGGTAGCAGGTTTTTGATCCAAGGAGAAATCTGACTGCCATTTTGGAGTCAAGAAGGATATTTTCCCAAATTGTGGCAACATTTGAAATTGCTTCGAACTGGGGTATTCACCTTTTGTTAGATGTGTGAAAAGCTGAACTTATTGGACTTTTGTCAGCCTATATTACTATGTAACATCCCTTGGTATGTCTACCGAAGGAAAACCCCACAACTTCAACCAATTTCAAACAAACCATGGGTTGCATCCATTTTGCTAGCTTTCAATTAGATATTTCACATGTTCCTACTTAGGTCACCATGCACTTTCAGTGGGTATCTAGTGGCTGAAACAGACACATCAAATCCATTATCTTCAATGTAACTGCGCTCAGTAAATTGTTCACTGTAGCAACACGGGTTTCTCCACAGCAATGCAGACCTTATTGACACTGGGAAAAGTCTAATTAAGGTGTTTTACAGAATGGATTTTAATATTGATTATAGTATATTTGAAGAATGGGTCACTGAGTTGATTTTATGACTGAAGAATGGGTCAACATACTTATCTAATGCATATAATTTCGATCTGTGTAAAAAGATGTTAAGAACAGCTGATGCAGTCATTTAGCAGGCAGGTGTTTTATATTGCAAGC